GGGGCGGGGGAGAGCTCTCTCTCTCTCTCTCTCTCTCTCTCTCTCTCTCTCTCTCTCTCTCCCTCTCCAGTTAGCACAACTGATCTCCTAACTGGAATTTTGGGAGTTCTTAGATTTAACTGACTGGCTGTTTCTTCCTTGGAGAGTGCAGGACTGAGACACACTACTGACTGGAAAAAGTTCTAGCATGGGAAATCAGGGTCCAGAGTCTGGCAGAAATTGGGGGAATGGGATAACTGCTAGGGTGGTCAGTTCAGAGTGCTGGTATCTTGTTTGCAGGATGAGGGGCACTGGTTTCACTGGAGTTCTCTGGTTGGGAATGCTGGGTGGGAGGCACCCAGCTCAAGCTCTTGATAGGCTAGAGTCTCTAACCCAGATGGTGGCTTCAGATCTCTGGTTCCTAACCTCCAGCATCCCAGATTCAGGGGCATGCCTGGATCTGGAAGAGTAGGGTTAGGTGTGGATCTGAGATTGTACAACTGATTTGACCCCAAGCTAGGGAGATGACTGGGAGGGTAAAGCTTTAGCTACAGCAGCGTGAGGACCCGAGCTCAGAGTCCCAGAACCCACGGAAGGCTGGTCATGGTAGCATGTATCTGTGATGAAGGAATTTCTGTGATGAGGTGGGAGACACAGAGGGAAGAATGCCTGGCTCAAGTTTGTATGGCAGCTAGCTTGGCACATGCCGGGGGTGGTGGTGGATTCTAACGTGGTGGAAGGTGACGGGCACCGAAGTTGTCCTCTGACCACCACAGATGCCTGCTGGTTCTCATAGCACACACACACACACACACACACACACACACACACACACACACACACACACAGGATTTTAAAATATTGCACCTGAGTGTTAGGGTGACACTAAGCGCCCAAGAGTGTTAAGTCAGGAGCAAGGATGTGCTCAAAGTCTTACATAGGCCTGAAGTCAAGTGTGGGAGTCCAGGGTATGGGGTTAGGGAGCCTTGGGTGGTGACCTACTTTGGGGATTATCGAATGTGCTTCAGAGGCAGGTTCTACAGAAAACGCTTCAGTGTACAGGTCAGGGCACAGAGTTAAAGCTGGGCAGGGTGTGATAGCATTTCCGAATAATTCAAGTTTTCCACAGTTCAGTGTCTAAACCTAGTACCCCAGTTCTTCTTAAAATGTGCTTACAGGTCCTTTGTGTGTGTGTGTGTGTGTTGGGGAGGGGTGTCTAGTGTTCACAGCTGAGGGTTAATCAGGGCACAGAGTCAGGACTGAGGTAGCCGCTCCAAATTTAAGGCTGTTGATTAGGCTAGTTTCTGAGTCAGTAGCTTACTTCGAAGGTTAAGGACTGTGCTAAGGCTAGCTTCTAAAATTGGGCTTGCAAGCTGACGTAGGAGGTTGGGGCTGGGGGGACTCGGTCCTGGGTTGAGAATTTGGATTCTAATAGAATCCTGATACTTTGGACCTTTGGTCTAGACACGGCTCAAGTCGAGAATCATCTCCAGGTCTGACTGACAGACTGTGGCTGCAAGTCTTATCCCAAGTGGAGACCCTGCATCCATTAAGGATAGGAGGCAGTGATGGGTCAGGGAAGTCCAGTACGGACGTTCGGGGTCAACAGTCGGTATCTCTGTTCAGAGCTCAGGGCTGGGATGGTGGGCCAAGGCTCAGAAATCAGACTTGGGAGTTTGGTTGTGGAATCTCTGTCTCTGATCACAGCTAGTGTCCCAAATGGCTGCATGGGTTGGGGTTTCTGGGGGCTCT